GGCAAAAGAAAGTTGTCCTTTGGAAGAAGACAATGTAGGGAATATCCAAGGCCCAGGTGTGAGCTGTCAGCAGAGAAAAACTGACCATGTGTGCTACCTTTTGCACTGAGGACACTTTACCATCCAGCTCAGAAACCAAGGCAAACTGTCACCCAGCTCAGAGATTATTTTTTTTTTAATTAACAAGCTATTCAAGTCCCCAGCAGGACACCATGAGACTAAGATATTGCAGCCATGCACAGTGATGTCTCTACACCCTCTCTGCCTAACAGAGCTCTCCAATAGCAGTATGGCCAAGAATAATAAAAAATCTACAAAATGACTGGGCATGTTTTTTCCCCTGGGCTGTTAACTCATTTTCAGAAAAGCCTGTTTCTTTCTTTTTCCAAAACAGAAGATTGCAGTGGGGCAGTGTCTCACTGGCACACTTAAAATCACTAGCCATTTGAGAAGAAACACTGGTTTGACAAGTATTTTAACTATTTAACCTCAAATACATGCTAAAGTGTTGCAGACTTGAGTGGGACTGTAGCATTTGTCTCTAGCATCCTAAATTGGAGCTGAAGCCATGTCTCTGTTTTATATTATGCACAGGTTATGTGATGGAAATATGCAAATATCCAAGAATTACAAATACTTCCTATTCCAAGAGTTTTACCTTTACTTTGAAGTAAAAGAATATATACTCCTCTGCTTAGCTATTTGCAATTTAAATACTGATCAAAGCTTTAAAGGTTGAAACTTTCAACAGGGAAATACTTAGAAGGTCAATATAACCCATCCAAATCTTATTTCAAAAGGACTTCAGGTATGTAAAGTATGAGACATCTGTAGCCTCTAATGACTTACTGAGATATTTGCAACATTAGCCATGGAAAAATGACTTTGTCTAACATAAATAGCTGGAAGAACAGAATTCGTGGTGACACCATCTGAAAAAAGCAGTTGACAAGTAACATTTCGTCACAGAGAAACAGACTTTATCTCTGAAAGTAGCAGAGTGCCTTATTTTCTATAGTAATGGCTTTTCTAGAATTCGATCTTGGTAATAAAATTTACTATCGATTCCTAGAGAACATGAACAGTATCTGACCTCATGTAAGCCTGCTTGTTCAGTAGCTTGCCTAGACATACATTAAAATGCTTTCTTTAAATAAGGTCTAATCTTGAAAAGATTTATAGTTTTTACACTTCTCTTTACTGTAATTAGTAACGAAAATAATGTCACTTCAGTGAAGCTTAGTTAAGAGGAAAATCTTCATGGGATTTGCTTAGAAATTTTTCATTTTTCTGGATTTTATCCAACAGAATCAATGTGTACATGAAATAAGTGCTTTAGAGGTTAGCAAAAAGTTTTCTGTAGATATTATTCACCACACTAACAAAATTTATGAGAGTTTTGTAACCTTTACTTTTACGCTTTTATCTATTCCATTTGAATGTTCTTACAGGTTATGTGATGACAGACAAAGCTGTATTTTCATTCCAATGATATGTATCGATATTACCAGGAGAGACTATATATACATATATCCCTATATGTAAATATTCATCAAAGAGACTGAACCACTTCCATTGCTCTTGCTTGAAGAGCCTCTGTATGAGACAGGACAGGTCACTGTACAGCAATGTTGCCTTGTGGGAGTTGTCTTCTTGGTGTGCAGTGCTGGCTGCTGCATTTCAGCATGTATAGTCAGACCTTCATTTTTCCAGACTCTCTAACATTGGAGATGCTCTGCCAAGGCTACAGAATTGCTAAGGCTGGGGCTGCTGGGAGGGAGAATCATGGGCGATTCCTTGGCTACAGCTCTGGGATTGTCTCACAGGAGCTATTGCTCGAGTACAGAAAGGAGCAGTAAGACAAAGTGTGAGGAGATGCTGAGCAGGCCACAGCTGCAGAGATTTGCAAACTCCCAGCACCATCTATTCCCTTCCTTCCCATCCACCACAGTCCTCACTATCAGAATCTCATCTTTCAGCACCTCTCAGTCTCCAGTGCTGGAGCTCTGAGTGGTGCTGCCAAAACACCACTCCTTGGTTTCCAAACACTCCGGCACCCTCCCTGGGCACAGCCACGCTTTCAGGGTAGGTAACAGCCTCTGGTGTTTTAATTCAGCTAAATAACCTCACTGCAGGCATCCAGGATCGTAATGCTCCTCTGTTAAATGCTCCTCAGTCATGTACACAACAGAAGTCTGAATCGTGGACTGGTTCTCCTCAGACATGGAAGAAAATTGATGTATACAGGAAAGCCTCTGCTCTCTCTTTTCTTCCTCTTTACCTGGAGCTGAGTGCTCTCTGAGAGTTTCAGGCTAGGAAAGTTATTTTCCTCCTGTGCAGGTTTCTTCTGTGTCTCCATGCTGGACATGCACACTGTGTTAGTTTCATCTCTTTGAAGGGCTCTTTGGCACAGAAATGATGGACATTGAGGCATTGGTAACACTAACTTGAAGCTTGCACCTTTCTAACCTGAAGCTTGCACCGCAGAAGCTGAGCTAGAGTATATTTTCTTGTTTTAAAATAAAAGAGGAGTTTCTCCTTACAGGGAGTACAGGGTGGGGGAAAGAATAAGAGTGTTTAAGTGCCAGGTGACAATGTCCATCACACTGCTCAGTGATGAAGCTATGAAGACAAAAATAGACAAAGTGACCTCATGGCTTTCAGCAGCAATGCCTACGAGACAAAAGAGAGGCTTTAAAAGGCTTGTGGACTGATAGCAAAGAGCTTGGACATCTCAGAGTTTTGGTTCTGCTCCAGAAGGGGACTGCTTTGCTCCTCTCTCATTGCCTCTCTTTCTGTTTATGGGGAGTTGTGAATTAAACGGGCTTTGTGACATGCCCAGTTCTCCAGGTCTGGATTCTACTTTCTCAAGTTTGGATCAGCCTTATGCAGGTACAAATGTCTTTTCTCTTTTCCCTTTTCTTTTCTTTTCTTTTCTTTTCTTTTCTTTTCTTTTCTTTTCTTTCTTTTTTCTTTTTCCTTTTTCTCTTCTCTCTCTTCCTTTCTTCCTTTTTTCCCTTTCCTCTCCTTTTTTTAAGTCTACTCTCCATACTCTATTCTTTTGCCTATTCTGATTTCATTCTTGCTCTTCACCTTCTACAAGTCATCTTAGGAAGATTTCCTTTCCTGTTTTCTTTTTTTCTTAAGCTGTTGTGGAAGATTGTAAATTGAATAGCATGACCATTTTTCTGTTGGGAGGACTGGTGTAATTAGTCATGTGCTTTAGCCTTTGATGAGGAGAAAGGTAGGAAGAAGAAAAGAAGGAAGTGAGAAGCAGGTCCCAGAGGGCCTTATTTGCCAGCTCCTTCAGAACATAGGACAGTTCAGAGCAACTTTCTAGGAAAATTGTACATGGATCCTAATGCTGAGCCGAGACTACAAGCTGGTGGAGTTAAAGCCCAGACCATCTTCTGTTACATTTTCTCTGACAGTATTTGCTAGCCCAGACTTTAAAGTTGGCACTTCTGTGGTAGTCTGCTGTCAGAAAGGGCTGTGCAGACATCACTTCTAATGGTGTCACTCCCTGTCTGTTAGCTGCTGGTGCTAGAAATCCTCCTGTGAGTCACTCAGGCCAGAGTTTACATATTCTGCACTTGACTAAGATTCTGTGGCGCTGCTCTTTCTCCTTGTAAGTTTAGAAGCAAAACCAGGTGAGGTGTAGTAGCTTGTAGCAAGGTTGTTTATTCTTCCCTTATTTTCCCTTATTGTCCCTCACTGCAGGTGACTTTGCGACATTAACAGGTTCACACTGAATGAATGCTTTGTGATAAAATGATCAGAAGTCAGATCCTGAGAAGACTGAGCAGCTTCCATAATCTCTTGAGCTAACACCATCCCTCAGCACTGCTTTGTACCTCTCCTCTCCTCTCCTCTCCTCTCCTCTCCTCTCCTCTCCTCTCCCTTCAGCAGAACATAATTTATCACATCTCTCTTGGGAATGTCAGGGCTGGACAAGCTGGGTTTTTTTGGACAAATTATTAGATATGTACAGTGGATGGTTGTTTCAGCTGTACTATCATGCTGGGAAAAAGGCAATGGAAAAGGATGAAATGAAAGACATCACAAATTAGTCTGTGGTTTACGTATGTGGAACTTTTTTTCTGTGCAAGGTTAGTGCTCATTTCTGTCACTTCAACAGATTCAAGGCATGTCCACACTTGCCTTAGGGCAGACAAGTTTGGTTTTACTACTGAAAGCCCTGGGGCTTTACTGACCACAGAGCAGGTGGAAAATTATTATCCCAGTTTCATGCCAGTGTCCCAGCAGGTGTTGTCTTTCCCAAGCAAGCCTGTCTAAATGGAATTCCTTCTGGTCTGGTTGATCAGCTGTGGGGATCTGGGATTCTTGCTCAGGAGCAAACACTCTTCTTCCTTGCCAGGCATGGGGCACGGGGAAGGGACTGCAGCAAGGATGAAATCATGTTTCCTTTGCCTCCTGCAGTGGCAGGGCTGCTGCAGAGCAGCAAACAGCTCTACAACACAATGCTGCTGCACAACACTGACTATTGCAGGACTCAGGTGAGGAGCAGCCCTGCTGTGCCTGCAGAGCACCTCTCCTTTTGTGCACATGCAATCCTCTGTATGGTAGGAGGAGGATCTATAGAAAGGAGGGCTCCACCTTCAGGGTGATAAATAAATGGTAAAAATTTCTGGAAGCAAGGGCAAGCATTGTAAAAACGTCAGGGACTCTTGGCCACTTGCTTCAGAAACAGGAAATCCCAGGTCTGATGAGGAAACTTAGACCAGCCATCAAAGTGGGAGGAGTTCCCTCCCCACACCTGCATCAACTTCTATTGTGTTTGCAGGGAAAGAGGAAACCACTCCTGATTTTCTACCAAGAGTTTATAAAGACACTATCATCAGCAAAAGTGGAATGTAAAAGAAGGGCAAGGAGTGTGTTTCCTCTTATGTGCACCAGAACACCTATAACCATTTCACTGTCCACCTTTGCCCACCCAACCTTCTCTGATCTCTGACACTCCCTCTTCCTTTCTCTTTCAGAGCTCCACCGCCACGAAAGCATCCAGGAGAAGAACGTGAAAGAAGCCAAGACTAAGTGCAGAACCATTGCATCCCTGCTGACAGATGCACCCAACCCCCACTCCAAGGGGGTGCTGATGTTTAAGAAACGCAGGCAGAGGGCTAAGAAGTATACATTGGTAAGCTTTGGCAGCGTTGATGAAGACCGCTCCTACGAAGAGGAAGACGGAGTTTTTCCAACTAGTGAATCTGAATTTGATGAGGAAGGTTTCTCTGATGCCCGAAGCCTAACTAATCACTCAGACTGGGACACTTACCTAGACATTGAAAAGTCCAAATCTGACTCTGAACAGAAGGAAGAGAAGCAAAAAGGTTTGAGTGAGGCCTCGGGTAAAGGAGCACGGTTATTTGAGCAGCAGAGGCAACGGGCTGGGAAGTACACAGTTGAGAAAACTCCAGTGCAGAAGAGCCCAGAGGTTGCCCCAGCTGCCCAGCCAAAGCCAGGCACAGTGAACGGAGATATGCCTGTGCCAGAGAAGGCAGACACTGTGCCCCTCAGCATCCACCTGGAAGGTGTGCAAGTGCCCAGCAAGCAGCCAGCCACCGTCCCCACTCAGCTCCTGACTGCCCCCAGCCCCACTTTCTTCCCACCTCCCCCAAGCACCCCCGACCCCTTCTCTGCAAGTTCAACAAGCATGTTCAACAGGTCTGCACGGCCCTTTACTCCTGGCTTTTCTGGCCAACGTCCAGCAACATCCTCTGTCATCTTTAGGCCATCTGCACCCAAAAAACCCACTGAAAGTCTGGGTGGGCAAAGCACAGTGGTTCCCCCTTTCTCACCTCCGGTTCCACGAACACCTGCCAATGCACCAGTGCCAACACAGCGTGGTCCAGTCAGCTCCTCCACATCTCTGTATATTCCTGCTCCAGGAAGACCAACATCACCACTGGAGTCACAGCCAAAAGGGGGAGGAAGTGCTTCAGATATCAAGCCTTCTGCCAACACTGCCCGGACATCCACCACCTCTATCTTTCTGTCAACTCCCTCAAAGCCAGGAGGGGATATGGCCTCCACAGTATCCCAGCCACGAGTCCCTGGCACAGCCTCTTCTTCATTGTATATTACTCCAGCACCATCACAGCACATGAGAAGCAGTTCCCCTGTGCCAAAACAGCCTTCTCCTGCCATCGCTCCAGCAACGCCACGACCTCCTTCGGAGCCCTTAACCTCCAGGGAGCAGAGGATTGCCGTGCCAGCTCCCCGCACAGGCATCCTGCAGGAGGCTCGCCGACGGGGCAACAAGAAACCCATGTTCAGTAAGATTGAGGAGAAGAAGAATTCACCCAACCCTGAGCTCCTGTCCCTGGTGCAGAACCTGGATGAGAAGCCAAAAGGTGACCACCCTGGGGCAGGCTTTGAGTCTGGGCCCGAGGAGGACTTCCTCAGCCTGGGTGCTGAGGCCTGCAACTTCATGCAGTCCTCAGGCCGCAAGTTCAAGACCCCACCTCCAGTGGCCCCCAAGCCTCAGCAAGATGCTGGATTGGTAAATGGGGCCCAGGACATGCCTCAGCTTAAAGGCAAGGGGGCAGAGCTCTTTGCCAAACGCCAGAGCCGCATGGACAAATTTGTGGTGGAAACAACACCTAAGCCAGAGTACAAGCCCAGGACCCCCTCTCCATCCCCTTCTCTACCCTCATGTTGGAAATATTCACCCAACATCCGGGCTCCCCCTCCAATAGCTTACAACCCAATGCATTCCCCTTTCTATCCCCTGGCAGCCAGCAAATCTCAGGCTAGCAAAGCAGAGAGCAAAGTGAAAAGGGCACCTGGCCAGAAATCAGGGATCAAGGTCATTGATATAATGCGCCACCAGCCCTATCAATTAAAGTCAGCCATGTTCTGTTTTGGGGATCCCCCAAGCCCCAGCACCCAGACTACTCCTGGTCAGCCAACCCCACAGGCTAGCTCATCCTTCATGGCAGCCAAGCAGGTCCCTGTGAAAATAGCCAAGACCCAGGAGATTCGTCGCTTCTCCACTCCGGCTCCCATGCCAGCCTCCAGCAGCCTGGCACCCACTGTGCTGGTGCCCCGCTCAGCCACCACGCTGGATGAACCATTGTGGAGAACAGAAATGGCCTCTTCTGCCCCTGCTACACCAGCACCTTTCCAGGTGGAGCTCAGCCCCTCCCCTAAGCCATATCTGAGCTCCCCAGAACCTGGGCAGGTGGGACAGGGACCTGCTCCAAACTCAGCCTCTGCCTCTCGGTTTCAGGTGGCCAGGCCCAAATTCTCTGCAGCAAGAACAGGCATGCAGGCCAATGTGTGGAGGCCAAGTTTTGGCCATCACTGAGTCAGGCACCCCTCCCATCCTGTCTGTGGCCCCGCAGAGATAGCGCTTGTTTTGTCTTTCATGTCAGCTCAGTACATTGGGATGAGTGACCCAAAATGAAGAAAAAAACCCTCAAAAAATTATTGCCCTTCTGCACCTCCCCCTTCCCCAGCCTCCCCTTGGTCTCAGATGGGATACCTCATGGAAAGGCTTACTGGCTGTGGCTGCAGCAGGAGGAAGAATGTGGAGAGAGGGCATACGTGTGGTACACAAAGACTGGGAACTTGTATATAGCAGTAAACCCCACCTCCAGAGGGGGTGAATGGCAGAGGTTATCTCGCATGGAGATACACATGAAGCAGTAGTTTTCCCTTCCCAAGGGCTTTAGAGTCACCCCTGCATGGAAGGAAACTAGGAGGCAAGAGCTTTCCAGGAAGAAAGGGTGAGAGGTGGGATTACAGAACAGAAGCCCCAGCTTTCCCATTAGACTGTTCTTCTCTGATCCTCCCAGTCTGTACATGTTCACTTGTGTGTGCACACACACATGCACACAGCAACACTCAGCAGGGAGTGAAAGGACAATTAGGGCATCACCCAGGACATTTCTCCCAGACTTCCCTCTGTGGGAGCATGGGAAAGAAGGCAAGAGAGCAGAGTGAGCAGTGGTGTTTGCCCATGCACATGTGGGCAGTGTGGCCTGTGCCCGAGAGTGGCCATGTGTGCCTGTTCCTCCATTCACCAGGGCTGGGGGTAAAAGGGAGAGTCATCCTAGCTGGTACTAAATGCCATTATCAGTTCTGGAAATAGTTTGCCAAAGAGAGGCTTTGAGGAGACTTGATGGGGCTATCACTAGCTGTGGGACCTGCAGAAGGAAGTATCCATTTTTGAGGATACACAAATCAAAGCTAAGCTCAGGCTGGCACAAAGAAAGGCCCTGCAGTATCAGTCCCACTGAACAGGATATGGATGCTGTAAGTAGAAAGGTGGATCGCATGGGAGAAGATACAGTTGGCTTTAAAATGAGGCAGGATTGAATATACATTTGTAGATGATCTTTTTGTTTAGTTTAGGACAGAAATGGGGCTAGATTAGAAAAGAGTCATGACATAAAACTTGCTGAAAGTTTTGTGATGAGGGGAAAACGAAGGACCTTTACAGACATTCTCATCATGGAAGTAGAGGTCAGGAAAACAGAAAGTCACAAGTAAAACTTCATATGAAATGACTTAGGTATTATTGTGGGGCCTATTTGATAAAAACTGAAGTGCTCTGAGAATCCCAGAGGATCTGCACTCACACACATACACAGAGTTCAGTTTGCTGGTGATGCTGGGGAAACAGTACTGGGTTTTCCTTGAATGTCTCAGGCTAGCTCCAACTTAATCCCTACACTACAGGCATACAGGAAGAAAGCACTGCCTTCCCAAGGAAGAATTCAGCATATTAGTAGGGCCTGTGCATGTGTGTGTGCATGCCATCTCTCTGGTTTACACACCCCCTGGCCATTTACTTTCTGCTTGTGGTCCTCCTCTGCCAGCAGCCACTTTTCCAGTGTGATCCCACAAGTACACCAAGAAAGCATTGCTCCTGGAACCTGCTCCAAACATAGCAGATGCCCCAGCTGCAGGGAAGGGGTTTGCCAGCTTTTTCTGGGTCAGGGTTGCCCAGCCTTTTGCTAAACCCTTAGGAATGTGTACAGGAGGCAGAATGAGGGTCTCATAGCCCTCTCTCCTTGAGACAAGTCTCCCTTTCATTAGACTTGCTCCTCTCCTTCAAGCAGTAGCCATTCTCTGGCTGAACTGAGCACAAACGTTGCTCAGTTACAAAAGTGGAGGTTCTGGGGAAATAAAAGGAATGCAAGTAGGTGTGAAGCAGACTGTATGCAGTGCAGCTAGTGTTGTTTCACACGAAATCTAAGCCAGCTTTCCTCTGCACAGCAGGAGCTTATGCTGTGTAGCTTTTTCGTGATAGCTCTACTCTTTCCTGGAGGCTTGAAAATCATTCTCTGTGACCACCCGGAGATTTTTCATGTATGCTCTCCTATGAAGAAAAAGAAGACTGGAAAACCTAGCTAGCACCTCTGATCCTGGACAAGCTTGAGGGGGAGAGAATGAGAGAAAAGGAGAAGTAATACAGAATTCTGCCTTTGAATCCTTCACACTCTGGCTGGACGTTTTTGTAGGCCTGTATTTGCAGTGCACATTCCTGGTGGCCCTGAAACATATAATAAGCATGCTGGGGAGAGAGGAGGACAGAATTTACACCTCACTTGGCACACTGTCAACCATGGGAGAGGATTGTAAGAAAAGCCATGGGAACACCTTGAGTTAATGGACAAAGGTGAGGCTGAGTCAGAAGAGATGCTGCGTCTGGTTGTGTGACATAGGAGCAGCCAACCTGAATTGATGAGGAGATTGTGTCCCTGAAAAGCCCCAGAGAGGATGTCATCACCACAGAGTTAATTCAGATCACCAGAATCCACTTAGCTCCAGTGAAGGGGAGCAGCCATGCTACAAAACCTATCTCAGATGATTGCTTTCTCACTCATCCTGTACTGCATTGCATTGCCAGCATTTCTGAGAATTAAAAAAAAAAAAAAAAAAAAAAAAAAAGAAAAAGAAAGGGAAAAAAAAGGACCTGTGTGCAAACTGAAACTGTGACTCTTCCCAAACATGGAGGGAGGAGTCTTCTGTTTTATCTAGTAAAGCTGTATAAAGGAACTCAAGAAGTAGCAGTGCTCCAAAAGCTTTGTCTCTCATCTTGTGGAGTGTTGTCTGTCCCTGGCTAGTGATTTAATCCATTAGCCTTAGACAGACAAGCTAGCCCAGGCTGAAAGCATTACTGAACTCAGGTGTAGAGAGGGGTTGTGTGGACCAGAGGAAGGGTGCTCAACATAATTCTGCAGTCAAGAAATAACCTCAGAAAGTCTGAACCTTACTCCAGTATCCCTTTTCCTCAGGCCCCTAAAGTTAAGTGCTCTCAGGGCCTGTTAGTCTCAGGAAATAGTCAGGAAATTAATTTTGCCACTGGAAAAATAGAGAAGTCTGGCCTTAGTATGTAAGGGAGATTGGATGGGTTTAGTATTTTGGTGATCCCACTTCAGATTTCCAGGAGACAATGATTTCTGCTGAGGAGTGATCAGTGTTAGATATCATGATCCAAGTGAGTGGAATAACTGCTTTTGCCCCATCATTTCTGATAATGTAATGGGCAGGAAATGAAAAAAGTTAGGTTTGATTGGAGAACAAATATTAAATATAAGAGCAAAGAAAATAATCAGGAGGCTGGGAATCCTGCATTTTACCTACATCCTTGCTTCAAAGCTATATTTAGAAGCAAAACTGAAGCAGTTTAATGGATTTCAGCCCCTCACAAACTTTTCTGGATCCCATGCTGACACAGGACTTGATCTGCAGAAGCAGAGGCTGTTGCAGATGAGGCCTACAGTGCTCATGGTGTATCCCAAATAAGGCCTGTACCTGTAAGTGGCATGAGATGAGAAATAACACTGAGATGCATCTGTGAAATTGTAAGAAAGAAACCTGAACTACTGCTGGCTTTAAGCAGCTCTGCTAATGTCTGCTCATGAAAATACTCTGGCTGGCCTGTTAGAAAGGTCACAGGTGAGGTTACAAGGAATACTTTTGAAACACGTAAGCTTGTCTTGAGCCTCTCCAAATGTCTAATTCCTCAGCTGTTGAACAAGCACAGACATAAACAGTTGTTTGACAAGTTTTAGCTCCCACCTGCTAAGTTATAAGCTGCAGTGGTAGGCCAAACCCCAGTGTTCCCTTGTTAAGTATTTGAAGATGTCTTCATGGGCTCTGGTTTAAAACTGTCTATCATCCCTCCTCTCTAGCATGCTGCAGGCTACACATTGCAGCTATGGCAATTCAGAGGTTTTATCTTTGCTTCAGAAGTAACAGTCCCTTCCCTCTCAATATATGGGAACACTTACCAGAGATAACCTCAAGATCCTGCAGCTCCTGGGAGGAAGCATCTCAGAAGAGACTGGTGTGATGAGGAGTCACTGGTACCAGACATGAGCACAGTGTGAGGCAAGATTGTTCCTTGTAAAGAATATGCTCCCTTTCTGCTATAATATCCAGACCCTTTTCCTAGAAGAGACCCATCAGTGCTCTGAAAATGGGAGCCCAGCAGCAATGCTCTGTCTGGTGAAAGATGTGACCCCAGATGAACAGAGTTGGCATCTTTGTTTATGGAAATACCTTTTTTCCTTTTCTGTTTTGTCTTTTTTTTTTCCAATTTACAATCACTTTCTCTTTTTTTGTTTGTGCAGAAAAATAAACTTGTGATATGCACTTTACATGTGGCATTTTGTCACTTTCTTTGCTTGACACCCAGGTGGAATTGCTATGTGTACAGCACATGCATTTAGCACTACCTACTACAAACTGCTATGGAGAAGAGAATATAAGGAGTTCAAAAAAGGATAGGATGTCTCAGCAATAAAAACACCTAGGTTCGACTTAAAGCCTCTATACATTAAAAAAACCCCATGCAAGCGAAAATTTAAGTGAGATCCAAAACTTTGGTACTACAGACTATAAACACTCACTCATTGACAGGTTGAAGACATTTGTGGACCAGTTTGAGATGGCCTGCCCCATCACTGCCCCTCAGCCTGTTCTAACCTAAACCTACCATCTGCTTGTAAATCCAGTATCAGTGGAAGCTGGTCATCTCTGATAAATCCAAATATAAACTTGCATTGAAAAATTCTACTTAATATTAACCAAGATAACAGAAAAACAAGTCAGTCAGAAAATCAAATATAACCCATTGTATTCTCAGGCTCCAAATCTAATCCTAACTCTAAACTTAACCCAATTCATGTTAAAATCTACTCAGTTTCTGGGTCCTGAGATGCTAATTGTGTTCAGTTTAAGACAAGTGTTAGCAGGTTGCCTTTCCCAGACATATCTCACTCACAGACAGCAGTTCCTAAGCACTGCAAAAAACACTGGGATCAGCTTTACAATTAGACTGCAGGCTCTGGACATTTGTCCAGGTATAATTTTGTGGATGTTTGTCAGATTAATTGCAAGGAGGGCTTCCTTTTGCAGTGGTCTGGAGGTAGGTCTTTGGACTATTCAGCATATTTCTGATTGACTTGCCATCAGAAAATGCAGAAAGGGCCAGCAATGTTTGCTGATGGCAAACCTAAGCTTCTGTCCAACTGGAAGCACAGCTCCCAAAAAAGTAAGTATACAGATGCACAGGCTGCAGATTAGGACTGCATCTTGTTTTGCTTAATAAATCTGACATAGTAGGATTATGAGCTACTCCAGATGGTTTGACACATTGCAGGACGGTTGCTGTGTCTAGGGCTCTTAATTAAATTCCCTTTTAACCTCTACAACCTTCTCAAGTGAGAGTCATTTCCTCTCAGAGCAGATCATGTCAGAAGGATCCAGACAAACAGACTTTGAAAAGTGGAACAATAGCCTGCCGAGCCAAAGGATTACTAAACAGCTCTGTAGCAGGCTAGGGATTAACCTGGCTTTCAGTACCCACTTTAGAGAGAAGTTTAAAACCAGAAAATAGTAAGATGCCTAGTGCAGATATCTACCCCAAACAATCACAGCCGATGGAAGGAGAATGTGCAGCAAAGAGCACAGCAGGGAAGTGTGTGGCGTGCAGGAAAGACAAGGCTATTCCCCGCCAGTACAGACCTATAGCTTCAGTGGCCACTAGATGTTGCCACTGTTCTTCTCGGAGTTACCTGCGGTTTTGGCATTTGTCTGATGTGGTGTTAAGTCTCGAGGGTTTAAAATCTTAGGAAGTCCTTTCTTCCTAATCTATCCTCTTTTGACGTTCACATATGGTGCTGCTCCATCCCACATACCAGAGAAGAAGGTCAGGCTCATACCAGAGAGTTTTGGCAGCGAGGGGGGGACTTGCTGCAGCTTGGAGGGGATTCCGGGGTCACGCAGACAAACAGACTGCCCAGCAAATAACCCCATGGGAATGGCGGCTATTGCACACACCTACCCCAGCTCTGCGGTCAAATCCTACGTATTTCTGTCCCTGCCCTATGTCTTATTGTGCATTAAGCCCACTTAGTGGCACAAGAGAGCCTGGCATTTACTGTTTCTCCTATTCTGGTGCTACGAAGCACTGACAAGTCTCCCTGATGTCTGTGTAAACTGGAACAGGTTAAGAATACAGGAAATATTTTACAAAAATTTTATTTATTTCATCATCATCATCACCATAACAATAACCAGAAAAAAATAGTTTTGCAGGTTTTTTTAAGAACAGATTAAATCATGTTGGAATTTGCTGTTTATTAATAATTTCAACACAGATTAGTCCTGGACATCAGGGAAAAAGGAGAGCAAGGGCAAGGTTTAATTCTCCATCTTTGAAAAATTAAAGTGATGAAGACTGATGCTGTTTTCCTGACTTCTACATGATCAAAATGTGCTCTGGAGACAGCTCTGCTGCTTATGCTTCTCTGAAGTACTGCTTGTGTCCATCTAGCAGCATAATAAGGCAGATTTCATGTGCTACTCTTGAAATGAGTTTGTAGGCATTGACAACTTGAAGTTAGACCATTTGAAATTAGGTGTACAAGAATGCAGTGTGAAAATAAATTAATTTTGAAGATACATGTCAGAGAAAGCAAAGCTTTGTTTAGGCTGTTTCTCAGGCCACTTAAACTAAGGGTATATTTGGAAAGAGAGAGGTTGTCACAGTGAGATAAAGACAATTTCTTGTATGATTATAAACTCTCTGAAGTGGTGAAAAGTCCTACAGGCAGCACAGGTACTACCCCACTGGCATTAATGGAAATTCCACGTACTTAAGTAAGGATTGAATTTAGCCACCAAACCTCACCACAGTCCAGGTAAACCCTTTCGCCCTAAACAAAACTAAACCACCTCAAGCACATCTTGGAGTGATTTAAAACCCTTAGCACTGACAGGTATGAGTAGGTAAGATAACAATAAGATAACAGATATCTTTTTCTGAGTCCATTGCATTATTCATGGCAGGGATAGAAGATTGTTACAATATTCCCAGTGCAAAAAAGCTACTGACCTGCTGAACCTGGCACCATGGCAGGACACAAGTGAAGTCTCTGCTAGACCCACAATTGACATTTATAGACTTGTGAACTAGACATTCCTATGTCTCAGAAGAAACCATATATAGAAAGGAGGAAGGGGCAGGATTTAGTTCTCAGCGTGGTAACTGAAAATAAAAACATATAATTTTATTCAAAGGTAGAGTAGGAGGTAAGAATCTCAGTTTAAGGTGTGTCTTGGTGTTTAAGTGTCAGACACAAGAGTGCTTTATACAAATCACCCCATAAATCCTAGTGCCACACTAATAGGTTCAAGGCTCAGGCTCTGTTCAGTTCCTTCCAGATGCACTCTTAGGTGCCATGTCTCACCTGGTCTATGTATACTTCTCGTATGAGACCTTGTCTATGCAAACAAATGCTTTGTTCCCATCAGACCATGGTTCCCATCCTCCTTAAATCTGGACTTCAGCATCTTTGGCCTCAACCCTAACCCTGCTTGCCTCTTGCCATTTGGGCTGAGGATCCACAGCAGACTCTTGTCTCCTGGACTTGGCTCACCCCGAACTGTCAGTGCCTTGTTCCTGGTCCTAATTGCAGGGCATGCTCATCATCTGATTGAGATCCTCACACACCATGCTAGACATGCCTTCTCTTCATCTTGCTATTGCTTTTCCCTAGCCTCTCTTGAGTTTTATACGAAGAATCGCATCTGTTTCCTGCTCCCTTCCAGCATACTCAGGTTCTCTCTCTCTGCAGCTGCCAGGGGTGGGAGGAAGCAGAGGTGCACCAGGTCATGTGGCAGGGAAGAGCAAACACAAACTTCCCTGCTACATCATCTTTTGGAGCTACATCGTGCCTCAAAATCCATCAGGTTCCCACATGATATCCAGCTGGCACAGACTGTTCTCCTAAGGTGTAATTTGTGCTCAGGAAGGCACAGGAGATGATTGGAGAAATAAAGCAACAGCTATAAAGTGGTCTGAAAACAGCTGCTGGAAGCAAGTAGAGTGGAGGTAGAGTTTAGCATCAGCCTAGTTACTGCAAAAAAGTTCCATATAATGGTAGCTGCATTTCTCAACTTCTCACCTGATGATATAAATCACATTAATTTCTCAGGTTATTATCAAAATAGAGTTAGAAACATTTTAAAATTAGATGCCACTACCTCATGCCTTTGGGAGACGAGAGGCAAAGGGCTCTGATTTTAAACAATAAAGCAGCACATTGTGTTTGTTCTTACTCTGTCCCTCTGTATGCCAGCACTTTGTCTCCCTTGATGAATGATGAATGAGTGTTTAGAGCATAGGGAATCTGAATAGGAGAGCAGTAGCTCAAGGAACACAACTGGACCTCACAGCAGACACTGGGCACTCTGGCCAAGTGTCAAACATGGTGCTAAACCAATCCAGAAGAATTAACGTGGTGAGAAAAATACTCCTCCTTGTACAATCTCCAGTGAGCAGGGCTTGGCAACACCAACAGACCCACTCCTCCGTGGCTACCTGCACTTGTGCAGAGGGGGTGTGATGTGTGGACAGATGGTCAGCTGTGACAGTAGCAGTTGACACCCTCCAGCTTTGTGCAGATGTAAATACCTTCACCAGGCATGAAGCTCTGTGATGGTGCCCAGAACAGGCAGTGGGTGTTTACAGTTTAATTGTGCTTATTTTACACTGGAACTGCTCCAGGGATTTGCTCCTGAATCACCAGCATGGGAGTGTGAGGGCAGGATCCAGGCTGGACATCACTCTGGTGTATCATCCTAGAACTAGAATCCTAGAACTCAATTGGGTAGGCAGGAAAAAGAGGGAGAATCACTTCATAATGTACAGGAGTTAAGGGGAGTTATTTGCATGTACAAAGCTGCACCAAATGCAGGTTATCAACCCTATTTCTGTCATTAATCAGGAAATTAATTTCCTTGCTCTTTGATACAGTTGAGTTTCCCATACATATTAAATAGCTGCTTCCTAGAATTCTGTAAATAGCTTTCTAGACTTGGTGGTTCTTTTTACTACTTCTTGTTTCATGCACACCATTATTTTGCTTCTGTATTTTTTGAAGCATTTTAGGAAATATGTTTGACAGCCTAGAGGACACTGGGATGAATGATTAAGAAGGAACAGAAGGAAGGTGTAAAACAGAGCAAGACCCAAGATAGTTTCTGAGGCATTACTAACAAACAGGATATTTAGCAGGTTTTATGTGTTGCATCAAAAAGCACTAGGAGGAAGAAGAGGAAATGCATGCTTAATTGAACAAAGAGGAGGAAGAAGTGAGCCACCTATGGAGTGACTGGTCTTCCTGGACATTGAGACAGTGACTGCAGGCGACCTGAGGTGCAACCTTTTCTTTTCCCCTCTCCTTAGGGATGGCAGCAGTGCTATCTGAGACTCTGCCCTCTGGGCCTTTGGTTATTAATAACCGCAGGATGCCTGTGTGAGCAGCCTTCAGGAGTCAAATTCACTGCACTTTGCATCAGCACTTTGTGCTGGGCAGAGCTTCCCTGCACCCAGGCACCCTGGGAGAGTGGGGCTGCTGGACAAGCCTCCCCAGGCAGCACCCAGACACAGGCTGGGAGGGAGCAGCCACTGCTGAGCTCTGGGGCAGGTGTGGGAGCTGGTCTGAGCCTGGCACTGCAAGCCTGAGGTGAGTTGACTGGGCAGCAAAATAGTGCAGGTGCTGGAGAAGTAAAGACTGGTTTGGCTTGCAGCACCAATGACTGCTGCAAAGATCAATGCACAAAAAGACAGAGGAATTGAACCAGGTGACAGAGCTGAGGGAGAAAAGCCCTGGCTTTATGTATGAGATAGTGAGGAGGATGGGGTGTGAGTCTCCAGCAGCTTCTGGGAGGGCTGGGAGAGCAGTAGTGCTGTGTAACTCTGGACCCTGTCTATAGTGAGAGACTACTGTTCCTTTCCTTATGCTAGACCAATTGCATGCAGTGAGTTTTTCAATCTTTAATCCTGCTGGATTAGTAAAGAAGGACAGCAGAATGGGATGGACTTGTCCTCATGCTGCTTGGTAATAAGTGTAAGGAGCACAGCTCCCCACCATAGCTGTCCCTTTCTGCCTCACCCAGGGAATCCATGTTTGCAGTATACAGATGATTTCTCTCTGTTTTGCCAGCTTTAGGACACATCAGATGGGCCATAACCTCTCACCTCTGCTGTCTCCTGGCAGCATTGCCCCTTTCCTGTCAAGCAGGGCCTGCTTCTTTTATACAGCCAAGCAGATGTCTGGCTGCTTGAAGAGAATGTGCAGCATGTGCATCATGGCTGCACCTGTTCACACTTGCTTTGGGAATACCCCATGATGGGCTCGTTTATGATGTGAACTACACAGGCAGCACCTCAGTAAAAGGAAAAGCTTGCAAATCTAAAAGAAGAACTAATCCAAGGGAGTATCTGCCAATGTGATTGGCACTGTTTTGCTGTGGCTGGGCTTCTTTTAACACTTATCACCACTCCATTACATAAAAATCATGTTACAAAAGAAGTAATGGTGGAATGATACCTCAGAATACACAGAAGATAAAAATGTCTTGATCAGAAGGGTAGTATACAAACTCCTAGTTACAACTATTTGCTTGCTAGTTTTAAAATATAACTCATAGTTCAAAGTTTTTCAGTTCTGAAATCTTAAGAGAAGTAAAGTACAAAGAATCACAAGGACAGAGGTGGTTAGTTATTGCTGCTGCTGAAGCCAATGGGCCTTTGCCCATTTTTGTATTGCATTGTATTAGGTGGGGATCTGTCCCCTATATGCTGCTGTTTGGGCATGGACAGTGCTTAAGTGAAGGCAAGACATTTGTTCTACTTACATTATGTGTAATAACCCCCAAGAAGGACTCTCAGAAGCTGCCTGAAATGGAATTGCTGAGATTACTCCTGATTTTCCCTGGCTTTGCCGTTCAGATCTCTCATTCTATCTGGGGACAGAGATAGGGTACATTGTACCTGAAGAAATCTCCCTCTTCTCCTCTTTCCACCTTCAAAATGGTATGGGCTAAGATCAATACATACGATACAGATGCAAGTGACTTCAAACAAACTGGGTGAACAACTTTAAGGTTTTCCTGTGCCTTCCTCCTCCTGCCCTTCTGTAACAAAACAGTAGCAGTTATAAAAGACAAAACTACTTGAAATTTTTTGCTTCTTTTTTTTTCCTTCCAAACTTGCAGTCTGGTGACCTTCTGAATATCTATTCTAATTTAAAAGGACTATTTAAATATCCAAACCAAAACCGCACATGACGCAAAGTGTTCCAAATAACTCATGGACAGACCTGAAATCTTTATCCAAAAATATATATCACCATCTGATGACAACTTCATGTTGTAACATTGCAGCATAGAGCAAATTTTCAAAGTGACATCCTGTTACTGCAGCACAAGGTGATAACAGAGTATCCATACAGCACATGTGGACTCTAGGAGAGTTGCCTTACTGCAATTAAATGGCCTCTTTTGGATGACAGTGCTATACAGCACCTTGGCAATGCTTCTGCTGGGATCTGCTACCATTGCTACTATTTTGCCAGAATGCTGAGTCTCCAGAGAACCCCAGAATGGTCTGCTGATGATATCCTGTATAGGATGATACCTTCCACTAGCTCCATCATGGGGAAGGGATAGAAAAGAACCTGGGTGTGAAATGAAGGCTGTGTATCTTTTACCTGTAGATGGCAACTAAAAGAGAGGCAAAAAATACATTTCATTCTCCATTTCCTTGTGTGTTTAGAGCAAAGCAGAGAACTCTTTGTGGGAATGCCCCTTGCAGGGACTCCTGCTCCTGTTAAAAGGAAAAAGTCCACTAAACTCATTGGGAAGCTGACACATGAAGGTAAGATATGCAAAATTGCACATGTAAGAATTGTTTGGATTTCAACCTGAATTTCGGCCTTTAAAATTTCACACCTTGTCTGACTGAACTCCCAAAGCAAGACATGCAGTGAACATACCAGGAGGCAGAGCCACAAATTTTACTGAAGCCCAGCCTTCAACCACGTCACATTTTCTATCTTTCATCTGAAAAGCATTGCACACACTCAGGTCAAAAGTCGACCTAGATTGCACTCTGTAAACTTGTATTCTCCTGCAGCATTAATTCGGATGCACACCAGTGTAAATGGACAGAAAACATGATCTTTTAGAGGTGTCAATATTGCAGTGTCTAGATATATTTTATGTTGTTCTCTCTCTTATAATCTTTGTCTCATACTGTTTTCTCTCTGTATGAGAGAGTTTGATTCCAGCGATCATTAGCTGAAAAAGACAAAGTCTCTTAGAGAAGTTAATAGAGCAGGAAGAATATAACCTGGAACATTTTTCTTTCTACAGAGTATGTATGTATTGGGCAGGGTAACTTTTAAATAACTGTGATGTCCTTACCTTTTCTTTACTTTTGACAGCATGAGGAAGGATTTAGAGGTTTGGTAAAGTAGTCATTTGAAGCAGTAACAAGAAATCCTGCTGCACTGACTGAGATGCTTCAGAAGTGTGATAGACCCATCTAGCTCCACCCCATGCAACTTCTCCCTGCAGGTTTGCCTTGATTGCAATCCAGAGTAAATCCCAAACACCTGTATCCAAAGTGTCATCAATGTAAAAACTTAGTGCATAGATAATTTTCTAAAATCTTACTTTAGAAGATAATTTGGGTGCTTTGAAGTCCTTAGCGATGCTAGGAAGCAATAGACAAGAGACATGGACCAGAGTACTTCCTAAAGTGCCCCACTGTATATGTTTTGTAGCTATGCCACAAGAGGTGTCCAAGCTGAACCTGGGGAAGAAGATCAGCATCCCCAGAGATGTGATGCTAGAAGAGCTTTCTCTCCTCACTAACAAAGGATCTAAGATGTTCAAATTACGTCAGCTGAGAGTGGAGAAGTTCATTTATGAGAATAACCCTGATGCCTTCACCGACAATTCTGTGGTAAGTTGAAGATTAAGATTACAATGTTACTCCATACACAGAGGGAAAACAGGAAAAGAGTGTGCTCAAGCTCTCGTCTGTTTTAATGTGTGTGGGTGGGGGCTAGGGAGGGTCTACCAGCAAAGAAGTGAAGGAAGAAAACAAAATTACATAAATACACAAATTTTATTTCCTTTTGGCAGGAGCATTAGTTTCCTCTGGCAAATATTTGGTATTACACGTACAGAAGCATGACAAAATTGAGTTCTGAGTGATGAAGGAAGGCTGCATGTTTGGCAGGTGTTCAGACCTCAGGGCAGGGCTAATTGGTTTTGTACCCATTCCATTTCTTCTTTGCATGATGGCAATGATCCATCCAGATCTGACTTCAGCTCCAGTAGACGCAGTTCTATTTTTAGTCTAGGATACTCTTATGCTTTCTGCTGGACAGAGTCCTCTGCTAATATCTGCAAGTTCCACAAGTGAAACCTCTAACCTGACTGAAATAATTTCAGTTAATTTGCTATAAGCCCAGTTCGTTTTCTTCTAAAACATTTTCCTTTCAGATATGGTGTATAAATACAGACATTCTTTTCCTTTTCCCTTTTCCTTGTGTTAGTACTGTTATTTAAACTTCTTTCTACAGCTGCAGGTGTAAAGTCTTTTGAAGACACCTAAACTTTTACAAATGAAACTCTCTATTCACATGATTATCAGAATTCAGTAAACCAAATAGATAATGTTTAAGGTTCTTATGCATTTTGATGTACCACCTCATCTTCTGATGTTCTTTAAAGTTGGTTTGGTGATATTTTATCCCTTTATGGCATCTCTTTTCTAGTCTAAGGAAACTCAAGGAAAACAATAAAAGTTAAGCTGAAGAAAATGTTTTGCCAAACAAAAACACACTATCTTTTAGCACTCTGATGTCTTCAAAAACAGTAACAAGAAAATATCTGTGGTTCATTTCTAAAAATGACAACTTAAAAATCAGAATGTGGAAAGATGCCTGAAAAAAAAAAATCTAAATTGCAACAATAAGATTACAGATGAGAGATGACAGACCAGAGATATAGCAAGCATATCTCATGATGTTAAACTTTGGGCAGCTGCTAAACATCTGAGGACCAAGTTAATATGGAATCTTCTGCAGTGAGGACTGGGAAACTAATGAAGTGATAGAATAAAATGGCTAAAGTCCAAAGTCTCAAAAATTTGAGGGCATCACTAAAGAATGTCCAATTAGAACAATCGAAAACAAATAAGTTGTGACAAACTGACTCAAGACTGGACATGCACAGCTGCTCCATGACTAACATTACACATGTTAGTCACACGGATGACAATTGCTTCTCTCTTGTTAGCTCTTTTTCCCACTTCGTTTATTCATTTGTGCCTGACTTTCACTCCATACCCTTTCTGTAGTGAATCTCTCTCTCTTTTGTAAGAACACATCTGCTCCCAGGGCTTTTTAGCTTGACTGGTAAGATCCTGTGCCATGGAGAAAGGTAGTTGGGGGTTAGAAAAGACTCTAAAAAGCCTAGGATTTTCTTTATGGATTTGCTGTAGAAGAACCATGTCATGGTCTCCAAACAGCAGCCGGCATTCTGCTTAAAATCCTCCGTGATCCACTTATAGGTCTTCCCTCCACATCCATGGTACAGCTAACAGAACTCCATGGGTCAGTGCAGGAAGACTTTGGTCTGCCCTGCAGCCCTCGCTTGGGGTCAGTTTAGCAAGATCAAAACAGAATTGTCACTGTTTTCTGACTGCTCCACGTGCTCGCTGGTTGCATCCACTGCCTTTGCAGGTAACCATTCTCATCACCGCAGGCAGCACCAGCTGCAGCTTTGCTGCAGTCAGACCATGAAGAAAAGCTGAGCAATCGCAGCAATTGAGTCATTGTCTCAGAGAACTGCGTGCTCTTGAGCAGGTAAAGGCAACAGAACTGTAGCCATCGAGACAGTGCCTGACCTTAGCACCAAATAACTTTCATCAAAAAGCCCTTTTGATTGCAGTATCTGATTAGATTTATTTTCTTTTCCTTTCTTGCTCCTCTATCTGCTCAAAGGCAGATGCAGAAAAGAAAGCTTAAACAAAAGATAACCGTGTGAGGAACATAATGGCGGAGTAACAAGTCCTACTGCTACATCCAGTTACTTACCCCTCCCAATTAACTTCCATGTCCTTTGCTCCCCATCCCGAAGAAGTTCTCGTGTCTTAGGCCGTGGGACAGATCAGAATTTGAAGCTGGTGGTGTGTTTTCTGCTTTTGTATAATAGATTTCTTAACTGTCTTGTCTTAAAATGTTCTCAGGACACACTTAAGAAAGCAGCGCAAGGCAGGTCTGGGATGGAGTATGGATTGTTTCTTTCCCACCACAGAAGTTTACAAGCAAGATAATGTAATATAAAAAAACACACAAAGAGAAAGGTTATTAAAAATAAATCCAAACCATATAAGGGGTTCCAGAATAGCCTGTGCTGTAGCCATAAACCTTCCACACAAGGGAGAAGATCTCATCAGTCATGTGTCATTGACCCACCCTTCTGCTTCTCTCCTCCTCCTTTTCCTCCAGCCAAAAATCCACACTGGACAATCAGATTACTCTCCTTACTTGTAGCAGAGGAAACATATATATTGTGTCTACATGAATGTCAGACAGCTGCATGCAAAAGTGAAAACCTGTCACTCTGTCACTGCTGCAGCTCTACCCATCCAGTTAAAGGCAAATGGTAGCTAAACCCCCAGTCAAAAGGACTGACCATTCCCAACATGAGTAAATTGAAATGCACTGCCTACTGTGGAGCTCTTTTCAATACTGTGTCTCTCTTTGCTTGCAAATACACAGTACAAGCGGAAGGTGTGTGGGGGGGGTGAGTTTGACACCCAGATCCTGCCAAACAGAGAATTTGGGCAACATCCTCCTTGTTTGGTCCTGTGCTGGAAAAGCTAGGTTCTTCTGAACCCTGTCTAGTAAATCAGATGTAGGATTTCTTCTCCTCATCCTAGGCTGTACCACCCATAGGAACTGTGATTCTCTCCATGTCTCTGAGGAGATTTTCAACTTATTGTGGAGCTGCAAGATATAATTTATTACTGACTAAAGACCATGATGAAATCCTATCTTGCTATGTGCTCATTACTGTATCATCTGGCCAACTAGAGAATGAGGGAAATCACTACATGCATTTTTTAACAGTGAAACTGAAGTATGGAGTAGATGAATGAGTCACCCAAAATCACAGATAGGGTCTCAGTCTTGTCTTTGGATCTCCTAAATCCCACTTCACTGTTCAGCAGTTAATAGATCAGCAGTTCACAGACCTATTCTTCATAATGCTGAATTTGTTTGGCCTCAAACACATTAAGATCATGTGAAACAATATTTCTTAGCTCTCCAGCCTCACTCATTACTGCCCTAACTCCTTTTCAGATCCCACCTCTGCTTCTGAACCTCAGTGTAAGACCTTGCTGTCATCAAGTGGAAACTTTCTAACACCTTGCTGCCAGGCATTAAGGGGACACTGAAAACAAAGCCATAGTTAGGTGTCTGGGATGTTGCCATTACTCTGTCTTTCTTCCAGTAAGAATCCTTAAATATAGTCCTTCTGCTAGTCAAAACCTGTGGCTTGATTTGGGTTACATGTAGGAGACCTTCCTTTTCCCCCCCTTACCTTTTGTGTTTTATTATCAGATATTAAATTAAAACAATTAGGAAGGTGATATATCTAAATAGACAATTATGAGCAGTAGTACCTCAAAAACCACACCAACCCACAACCAAAATCCCCACCTTGGTGCTTTCTTACACTTACCATGCAGCTTCCAATCATGACAAAGCTTGTATGAAAACTGAAATGTGTTGGAAATTTCTGCTGGACTTCAGGTCAAGAAGCTGATGCCAACTGTGAAACAAAATCTAAAAAGTCAAAAGAATTGGATTACTGCTCTTCTGGATAATGGCAGGAGTTAGTACTCTTTTTGGTGCTGGACAGGAACTCAGAGCAGGCCGAAATAGCAGGAAGAAAATGGAAGTGATTATGTTACAAATCAAAAGCAATGCTTCACAGCAGACAGCAGTACACAACCAACCTGCCTCAGAGATCTTACATGATATATAACCAGGCATGATACAGTGTCTGAAGGAAAGCAATGATGGAGAAACATAGATGTTATCATGCAGCTGCTTGGTTTATTACAGGAGCGTGCACTGAGGCCATTGTATGGCCCTTAATGTACTCAGATGAATGTCAATCAAGGTCAATGGAGATAAGATTAAAGGGGAAATGTTAGGAAAATAATTTTTTCTAGGAGTTCTGTTCTGCATGGAATGTTAAGCCTCTTGAAAAAATATCACAGGATAATTGCAGGCTAAGATACAAGTCTCAGGTTATGACCTCAGTGGAGCAAGCCAGGTGAGACTGTAGTTTCTCCAATAAAATAATGGAGTTCGATGCATTCCTATTGAAGATGTGACTGGTGTGGAAAAAGCACAGTAACAGAAAAAAAAGAGCCTTTTATTTTCCACAGCGATTTGTTGAAGCACTGTGAGAAAACTCTGGACCAAAATTCTGAAACACAATTTCTTTCATCCACGAAGAAAACGTGGCAAAGATGATATAAAATATACAAATAAGATATATCTAATTTTGGGTAGCATTAGATAAAAATTCCTGTTATTTAGATGGGTAGATTCAGGCACAGAGGCAAAAAATTATTTTGCCTCAGATTAAACAGCAAGTCAAGAAATGGACCTGGAAATAGAAAGCAGGAGCTCAACTTGTTGTGCCTCCTGGGGTAACAATTTTTAAAAAATAGTGTAAGATGTTTCAACAGCTTCTTATTTTCATCCTGTCTTAAGAAGTGAGTCACAAGTTTAAGGCTATGCAATTCCATATGAAGGACTGAGGCCCATGCTTTGATAAAAACAGCAGGCACTCTATGAGACTCTCCAAGTGTCTGAATTTTAAATCTCCCATCCCACCATTAAGGAGCATTTGAGTGGCTGCCACGGAGACAGCACAGTCCAGTAACTTCAGAAGTGTTAGTAACTACATAGGCATCAAACATTTGGGGAGCTCTTTATCAGTGAGGTGGAAATAGAAACACATTTGGTGGCCTCAATCATTTTCTTTAGGGCACAGCAAGGAGCTGAAGGGGAGCACACAGTGTCTCTCCTGGGGACTGCCTGCAGTGACGTCAGGGCCTTGAGATACATAGAGATCTCAGCTCCATTAGTTGGATCATCTTTCATTATCTAGTTTTTATTAGGCACATGCTCTAGAGAATTCAGAATTTGTCCATCTAAGCACTCAGCCTGCAGGAGCAGGCACTTGCTAGCACTAAGGACTTCAAAGGCATGAGCCCAATTTGTTTAGCCAACCCAGGGGACCCAGCACGCAAACTTGAAACAAGTGCTCTCTTATTAGAGTGGATTTAGGGATGCCCAGGGACTAATACTCACTACCTCCAACAATGCACAGACAGGAGGAGCTGTGTGATCTGTCCCCAGAGCCAACAGGAGAAGGTTGTCAGCCATCTCAGCTGACTTTCCTGGACTTCTCTCCTGGAACTCGCACCAACGTGGTCAATCAATACTAACTGAGAGGCTGGTTTTATGGTGTGAATATGCATATATGTAAAAGTTCCACATGCTGTTAGCAGTGGCCCAAAACATGCATTCTCCTCAAGTGTGAGCTCTAAAAAACTCTAAAACTCCATTGTAAGACTCTGACCAGACGTGTGCTCTAAGTGCTGGAAACAAAGCTGTATCTATGCAGCTTGGACTATGGTGAGACTCCTGCTTGAGGCTGTCATTCCTGAGCTCCACCGTCTTGGAAATTCTTTCAAAAAGATTAATTTCCCTTTGCCTTATGTTAATTTGAGCTAAGACAAACAATTGTAGTGGCCAGAACTAAAGAAAATTATATTTTTATTTTAGCAGGTGAGTAGACTGGGGTGTTGCATGGAAAACATGTCTTTCCTATCTGAATGGAGTTGCCTACATTTAGCAGATCAGATGTTTTCCCAGCAGTCCCATGAAGAATCATGGACTAGCTTAAGGCAAACCAAACTAATTTAATTTGCAGCTAAATAAGATTTAGGAGTGGCTTTCCTGATAGAGACCTTCTGTTTCAGAGAAACTTCATTCCTACTTAGTGATAATACTGCAATTTAAAATAACACCAGATGATAATGATTCCCCTCCCTAGTCACATCAAATACTGCAGTGAGCAAAAACAAACCAGCCCATTTACTGCAGCTCATGTTATGCTGATGCTTTGTGACTTTTTTTTTCTGTGGCAGGAGAGGCATGTAAGTAACCACAGGAAAGGAAAAATAATAATTTAATTCTCAGAAAGGGCACATAGCATGGGTGAAACTTGAAGGAAAACAGATGCAAATTCTGTTTTGAAAGTAGTGAGCAAATCAGTAGAAACATTACCCTTGCATATATATTAACAGTTTGAAAATAACCTCATTCTGACCCCTAGCCCTCAAAATACTCTTTTTCAGTTTGCCTTTTTACAGCTACATAGCTGCCACGCATAATTGAGCAGATTTCCCTGTTAGCTCCTGTGTACAGCTTAATGCTCACAATCCTCTCCCCTCTCAGTGCTTCCTGACATTCACGGGAACATTATCTCCTCTGTTCCTAAAAAGGGAATTCCCTGCAGCTAGGAGAAGGACAGACAGTCCCTAAAGGCCCCGAGGGCACCAGCTCTGCCACTTCAGCCTGCAACTGGCTGCCTGCCTGGGCTGCAGCCTGGTGACCTGCTGTGAAACCCTGGACACTGTTGTGGGAGACACAGGGAGCAGAGGGTTAGCTAATTCTGCCTTGAGCCTTGTGGGGTTTTCACTTCTTGACTATTTTTAGCTGACTGAACAGCTGGCATTGGAAGCCTGTTTACAGCCTGGAAAGCTTCTTTTTGCTAAACTGTGCTAGGTGTAAGAGCCCTGAGAAAGCCTTAACCCTTTGAGAGCCATCTCTAAAGCTGCCTGAGGTTAATTTATACAGGTATAATCGCAGCATGAGGAACCACAGATTCATTCAATGTCATTCACGTGTATTTGTTGCATCTTTGTGCATCTAATAGCCAATCTCCTAATCCAACAGGAAAGACTATATGTGATATATAACCCAGGTTACTTGTATTATATAGCTGTGTGGGTTGTACTACACAAGAGATACTTTTTTAAGTCTGATAGGGTCAAATATTCATGTCACTTATGACCAATATGTAAAATATTTTTCTGAACATACTGTATCAGTTTCTATTTCACACAAGCATTTATTAAAGTTTCTGTATGAAAAGACAGGATATTGTGCCAAAATGTACACCACAAGGTCTATAAATCCTGCATGGATTGTTTGCTCTTTTACTACATACTGCAGAGATTGTGCCTTCTAGCCTGGACAAGAGAAAGTCTGCAAAATAGACCAGCTTAATTTTTCTGATGGATGTAATTTTCTTTTTTTCTGACCCTATCACTGGTAAGATTTGGTTTGCTAATTCAGATACTGCTACAAACAAAATCCTTCCTTTTTGTCAATTTCGCCCCTTCAAGAAGTATTTTCTGTTTTCCCAGGCTGCTATCTCTTCAGTTTTTCTCAGCATGTAAATACTCCTCGCCAAGAAGACCTTCATATATACAGAAAACAGGCAACAAGGCAGACATCTCCCTGGCTTTTATGTTGTCACAGATACCCTGCTGTTCTGGTGGCCAGTAACATGTAATTCCTACACTGTAATCCAGCTGGGGTTATGTTAACTTTGACACTTCCTTCTTCTTGCCCAGCTTGCTTTCCCACAGGTTAGCCAACGTTATCTCTGGACTTTTACCTGCTCTGGCAAAAGCTAAATTTCCTTTCCCTCCTCCTCTATTTCACAGTCATCATTGTTGGGGACAAAAACACCCTGATGACATAAAATTACTATGGAGTATGTGTGCTTCCATTGCCACTTCTGCAGTTCCAGAACAGTTGCTAAACTGAAAAAAACCCAGGGAATAACTCACTCTGCCACTGCCTTTGTAAGAGAGACACAGAACTGGTCAGATCATAGAGAATCAGGAGTCTACATTCTGGGACCCAAGCCTGCAAACACGAATAGCCCATATCCTGTATCAGAGATTCAACCACTCTCTTTTCTCCTCCCCTAGGATCACTTTCAGAAGTTCATCCCACCAGGAGGGCATTATGGGGACGATGCTCAGGGCTATGCCCATGGGCGGATGGTAGGAGGAGTGGCAGCTGGGCAGCACGGCTCTGGAACACAGCAGCATCCCGGCGTCCCTCCCAGGCCCGGGAGCAGAGGAGGCGCTAGAGACGGTGAAGGCGAGCATGCAGGGAAATCAGCTGGAAGTGCTGGAGAAGGAGGTGATGGTACTGATAAAGGCAAGTATTCCTCTGCAAGAACAAGAAACTAAAGCTATCAGACCACATGCCAAGCCTACTCTTAAGGACAAGCAAATTAATCTAATAACTGGATTCTTACAAACAAAATTCCAGTGTAAATTCTAGAAGAGCTGAACTGCTTTTAGCTTGATGGTTTTGTTTGTGTGCTTCTATGTTGCTCAGCCACAGGCAGGAGGCAGAAAGACCTTCCTTGACTGGACCATAGAAATTACAGGAAACTTCTCTGCTGAGCTCCTGAGGCTGATAGAGCAGTAGGCCAGTACAGCCATGCCATGTGAGCGTGGCACTCCTTCCTTTCAAGGGTTTCACACTGACCACTACTGGAGAGAGTGGTATTAACTCTTTAGATCAGAAGTCTGATCTGAGTATCCGACCTGAATAGCTGAGCCCTGATTTCAAATCAAAGCTTCTACTTAAGCAAAGAACACTTTTTGGATAATCCTCAGAAAGGAACAGCAATATTTCTAAAAGTTATCTGTTAACCACCACTGGGCCACTGAGGCAATATCTTTATGAGTAAAAGTAGTTTTAATTCAATTTAGTCTTTGCCTGATTTTATCTTCTGTTTAGTTTGGCCAGAAGTCTCTAGAAACATATACCTAGTATAGGAATCAGCAGATGAAATCATAACTTTAATAGTCCCTATAGGTTTTCACAAAGAAACCAAATTTTCTTGGGAACCAGTAATAACTGCCTTGAGTAACCAAATGAATGATTTGTAAAAATTCAAGTTTTTTTCATTTATCTTCTGGAATAATGTGCATTTTATGTAAAAATCATTTTATATAAAAATTTCCTGTGAAAAAGCAATTTGTATACTCTTCTTATAGGAGATTTTTCTTCATTGTTATCCTCTGTGCAGGGAGAAGGAGGATTAATATCATCCTATAGCTTTCCCTGCAGAGACAGATCCCAGCTGCTTTTATGTTTCAACCCTAGCAATCAATTTGCTGGTAAACTGCTTAGTTTAAATACTTAACAAAGCAAGAGGGGAGTAGTTGGGGGTTTTAGTTTTTTGTTTTGTTTTGGTTTTTTTTAATGAAAATTAGGTTCTTGTAAATGTCTGCAATTCCCTGAAAGCAGGAAACCCCAAGACTTGGCATGGTTTGAAATAAGCAAAACAAATAAAGGAGGCGTGATAAAGAAGAAAGATTCAGATAATAGTGTTCATTCTTTGCCACCTGCTTCATAAGAATTTGTTTACTACACAAAATGTAGCACCTGAAAACACCAGAATATCTCTCTCCATTAGCCTATTATTCTCATCTGTCCTAATCAAGCTAAGCAGATGTCCTTGCTCAGCAGTCTTAAGGTTTATGAAGGATGAAAATATTATAAGTTTGCTACATATCAGTACAAAACTTATGCTCTTACTAGCAAGGTGGTATTATACACAGCTGGGAGAAGGGAAGGCAAGGCAAGGCAAGGCAAATGCAGAATGAAATCTCTTGTCTAAATTCATTTGCTTAATGGAGCAGCTGGAAGCTAATCTAAAATTTCTAGCAATCAAGCATCTGACTTTACAACAAAATGCAGCTCTAGTCACTGATAGGATTTTAACTTCCAGTGAGATACCACATAATATTTTCAAACTGCTTTTAGCCATCCTGAGGTGATTGAGACAGACTTGTCTCTAACATTCCAATTCAGAAGGATAAAAAGATGAATGTCTGTTCATGTAATCACAAAGAAAATGCCGTGTCATGTCTGCTATGATCTGACAGAAAATAAATAAAAGTAAATTAAGGAATTATATAGCTTCTTTCCTCACATAAAGCTCTCCCCCCATTAGTGGAAGAGATAATGAGGTGAGGACTTTGGTTCTTTCTATATGAGCAACCAAGAAGAACGAAAAACTAGCTTTCAAATATATGTTTTAATGCAAATTTCTGGATGAGTGGCCCTTAGACTATGGTACTATCTGCTTTTGTGGATAAGGACAGAAGTGTTTTATGATTGTCTTTTAAAATCAGACATCTAACCATAAAAGTTTGTATTGATGTAGGAATTACAGAATCTGGAAACAAAGCTGGTGCCTCAACTTCAGTAGCAGAATACAGAAGCACAATGCACAGTCAGAATGCCATCTAACTAGACTGCTTTACCTTCCTCTGTTTACAGATGGAAAGTCAGGAGGCAAAAAAGTTACAATATTTAAAACCTATATTTCCCCTTGGGAACGAGCGATGGGTATCAGTCCTGAGGACAAAAGTCAGTTCTCCACGGACTTACTGTCATACAGCCCCAAACCTGATTTCCCCCATTACAAGTCTTTTAACCGGTAAGTCTTCTTAGACATTCAATGAGTTCATTTAGCAAGAGAAAACACAACAATGCTGACCGTGGCCCTCCTCTCTTGTGCACTGTAAAGAAGTTGTAGTTCCATGTCCTTTTGTTTAGCACAGTGTCCAGTGGATGATTGGAAGACTATAAAGACAAAATATATTAAGAGCTAGAGATTTTAACTCAGATTATGCACAGAAAACCTATGCAGTTGGATAAGAGGACTTTAGTCCTATTGGCCTTTCTTTCTCTTCCCATTTGACCAGGAGATGTAGCTTGCCACTGTTTTTTACTGCAACCCTTTGAAGTTCAAGAGGTCAGGAAAAATACTTATGACCAGCAGCCATATACTTCACAGCACTTCATATACAAATCAGGATGTTGCTGCTGTTTCTGATAACCACTGAAAGTTTTATAAATATTTCTAGGGCAGCAACAATTTTTTCTTAACCTCTCTATACAATTTTTCCACCCGCCTCCATAGCCTCAGGACATCAGTACCAAGGGCAAACCCACATCCCACTCATTTCTGCAATAATGCAGCCTCTGCCTGCTACATGTGCAGAATACTAACAGGTGTGAGAGGTGTATGGCTTGATGGAGATTGATGCAACAAGGGTGAAGGAAGTGCACAGCAGCATATGTGCATGTTTATATAATTTTTAGTACATAGGTAAGGGATACATCTATGTTCTCATGAAGGATTTGTTGGCCAGTCAACTGCAATAGTAGCAAAATTCAGAATCTTGATAACTTAGACTATTTATTTTACAAATCCTGTTGTTCACCTATGCTCTGTTTGCTAACTCCATGTATTCCCCTATGCCAGGACTGCCATGCCTTACGGGGGTTATGAAAAAGCAGCCAAACGGATGACCTTCAAAGTGCCTCAGTTTGATATCTGCCCTTTGCTCCCAGAATCTCTCATGATATATAATCAAAACTTCAGCAAGAGACCCTCCTTCAACAGAACCCCAATACCTTGGATGCCTTCAGGCGACTTCTCAGAGTACCAGACTGCAGTCAATGTGCCAGTGAGTGGTGAAACAGAAGAGCTTTAAATCCCCACTGCCAAGACCTTCCTTTTTTTCTCAGCCCTTTCTATTTGCAAGTTGATAGTAAGGAGCAGAAAAGTGCAACTCTAGTTCTGTCAGCTCTTCCTTTCTTTTGCCCATAGCCAAGACAAGTCCCTAGCAGGTTCTAAACTCCTCTTCACTGTATTGTTAATCTAAATCAGACACAGTTTGAGGAAAAGGAGCTTTTTATTCACCAGCATATAAGAGATCAAGACTAACGAAGTGTTTTTATGGTTAGCAATGCTACATGCTGCCTGTCTGATTGATAATAAACCTGTTTTGTCATATATTAACAAAAAATAAAACACCAAGATGAAAAACAGCTTTTGTGTTTTCTCCTTAGAAACTGCTGCTGAAAGAATTTGGGGATTAGCAATAACAAAAGTTTCAATCTCACAATGACACTATTAGCCTGGGAAGAAAGATCAGGGACTGACAGGGATGGTCATAAGATTTATATACATCCAGGTGGCTTGGAAAAATAATGCCAAAATGATGGGGAAGATGACTCTGAGAGAAAATTAGAACAGTATCAGAGATGAAATAGCAAGTCAGCCTGTCAGCAAAACAAACAGCTTAAAGCATTTCACTATCACCTAAGATTCCCCAGTTCTCCAGAAAATAAACTAGGTGACGGCTTAAGCAGTTTTTGGTTGTTCCTTTTTTTTCTTTTTCTTTTTTTTACAGAGATCATAATAGGTTGGGAAGCAACAGAGGCACGCCCAAGTAAGATGACTTGCCCACAGTTACAGAGCAAGAAAACAAATGCTTTAATAACAACAGAGCTAATTTGACACCTACCACAGTGCATTACTTACTTAAATACACACCATCAAAGTCTATCCCAGTTCTTGCAGCAGTTTCAGCAATGCCACACAAGTAAGAAGAAAGGCAGGTGCTGTGGAAAACCACTAAAGAACTCCTGCTTGGAGACTGGTTTGGAATTCTGTTCTGAATGCCTCAACATTTCCTCCTGTAAGCAGGGCTGAACAGCTTATTCATGGGGACAGCTTCCACTGAAGTAATTTTAATTCAGGAGTTTTTCTCCTTGTCTAGAAACTCCTACAGCCATATATTTGACATTTATTCTGTTGGGATAGTTATGTGGCTGGCTTTATTACACACCTCTATAAGGGTACTGACAGGACTACTGTGAGACTTCTAAAATGATGCTAATAATAACAAGCTGCAAAAGTAATTAATGAATAGTTTCCTAACCTTTCTGCTGCAATGGCTAAAGAACATTTATTATATATCCTATTAAATGATTAAATATCCTTTACTCATTTCTGTGTCTAAACTTAGAAATATTAAGGTTTTATTTTGATCTGAAGAACATTTCAACAAAAATGAAAAAGCTCTGTTTGAGCTCTGTTTGGAGATAAGGTTGCTGTTTTCCAATATTATAAATTAATCTAGCTTTTTAATTGCATTGTAATTAAGGAGGATGGATTTCTTTTCCAGTTCAAAAGTACTTTATACAAGAATCCAGTCCACAATGACAATGCTAGAAATTCAGAAGGTCAGAGGAAATTTCAGAGAAAACAAGTTGACATTAAGCAAAACATTTTCCCATTAAATAAACCATTTATTGCCATTTATTATTCTCTGACACAGATTTTAACCTACTGCAACATAGAATTACACTATTTTTTAAAAAAAGTGAAATACAGTATGCTTTCCTGGTAAATATGTCAGGAATAGCAGAAACAAGATCGTTTGGTAGCCATATGTCACAATCTATTTTCAGTAGCAGGTATTCCAGGTCATGGACCAGTTAAGGAATGTCAAGGTGCAGAGAGGACTGGCTGCTCTGAGGAGGGGCTGCCCCAGACAATCACAGCACAGGTCTCAAGTCCACCCAGGAGACAAGAGTGCAGGCCAGCACCTCTACAACATCACTGTCACAAAGGACCCCAGGACTGGGTCTGAGCTTAAAAGAGATTTCTGGGCCATAGGTAGTGTGATAAATGTGATTTGTGCTAATTAAATTGTAACTATATTAGCAAAATTGTATTTAGATCAATAGAAGACAATTGTTACAGAGTGAGGGGGGAGATGGCTGAGGCAGGACAAAGGACATCTTCCAGATGTTGAAAGTCAAAGAAGGATGTTGGAAGAGAATAGTAAAAGGACGTAGGTCTGACAAGCAGCATCTAGAAATAGAAAGTTTCGACTTTGAAATGGGCCAAAATGGGATGATTCCAAGCATGGGACTCAATGAAAGTCTTGTTATGGAAAACATCTGCTCAGTCACAGAGTGTGCATGTGCTACCTGCAGGTCACACCTCGGTCACTGAGGAAGACGACGAGCTTTCACCGGAAATAAGACCCTCAAAAGGATGAGAGACCCCGTAACCCATTAGTAGAGCATGTGCTGTACAACATAGTGATGAGGATTTTAGGAATAGAAACTGGGAGGAGTTTTCTAGAAACTTCTGTAGCTTACAGTATGTAAGTGGGATTGTTAGCCTGGATGCTTTGGTACATGAGGAGAGGCGAGTCTCTCCCTGTATCCCTGGTCGGTTTTGCTTTATATGAACCTCAATTATACTAAATTACTTACTGCCAAATTTTACTTATCCTAAAATATATGTATTCAATACTTTGATTGTATTAATCTCCAATACTTTGATTGTATTCATCTCCAGTACTTTAAATGTATAAATTTATAATTGTTACTATTAAAAATTTGCTGCTACATTTAATCTTGTTGCTCGATAAATTGGAAAAATAGAACATCATTCATAACAGTAGGGTGAAGGTCACAGATGAGGTTAGTCAGGCCAGGGAAGGGCTGCACACAGAGTGCACACAGGACAATGACAGCAAAATATTTGGGAATTCCAGTAGGATCACAACAACCACTTGAGTTCTACTGTATCATAGAAAAAACCAAAATAAAATACGTCCTTAAACACAGAGACAGGTAAGGAATCCATGCAGAAATAGCACAGTGCTCTCTGGTGGCATAGTCTCCAAGCTCCTATACACAAGGAAAGCAGCATGATCCCACAGGTAGCTAAAGGGCTGGGAATGTACCCAAACCTCTCTCTGGTTCACAATATACTGTTGGATGAGGGGTTTTGTCAACACACTCCATTAACCCAAACTCTAAATGGGGTTAGAAGTTGCAATGCCCTTGGAATTAGTACTGTATCACTGCAAATCATTATTAATATTGCTATAATTCGTACTTGTAAGCTGTATCCTCAGTATGGGTACATTTGTTTAATAAGGCACATAGCTCTTCTTCTGCCAGTGCACTTTCAATCTCAAATCCTGTCAAGTAGGATTTATGTGCTTTTGTTTCTAGTACAAAATGAGAAATACAACATTACATGTTGTTGTAGAACAATTCAGACAACTATTGTCTTGTTTACACAGCCTAAATTACATGCTAGTTTAGTCATTATGCAAAGTAACATTACAAATGAGAGAAAAATCAGGAATCCAATTTCTGTCTCAAAAATAATTACTTTGAGCAAGGCTTTCAGCTACTCTTAATCAGGGCAGAAGTTTGTCCATAATGATCAAATATTTAAAAAGAAGTAAGAAACAGCTCCTGTTCTTTGTTTTTCTTGGACTGTGATGTAGACTCAGGGGAATTGCCTGTCAGAGAATTGTTTATATTGAGAATTAGAGGATTTTTATTAGATTTAATTACAGTGGATTTTCTCCCACATAGTAGAAGCTACAAAATGGAAAGTCAGTCATTTGCTTTTAAGCAGGATCATCACAGTTAGAGGAAAAAAAGAACAAATTATTGAGCTCATCCTCTTGAAAAGGCGACTTTTCAACTTTGAAAAGTTCCCTTATATAGGATATGCTGGATATTAAGCTTATACTCCATGGAACAACAGCTAAAAATCCATTTAATAGGGGGGGCTGACCCTTGAAAAACAGATTGCACAGAATTTTGTGACATTCAGATCTTTCATTCAAAACAAAATGCTCTCACATTTTTAGTTATTTACACTGTCATTTCTAGGAATATTATTTTACAGTTTCCAAGCTTTGAAATGTTTCTCTCATAAAGACAAATTCTATGATAAAGAATCCAAGCCAAGTAAAAAATGCATTAAAAAACAGTGCCCACATTTTAATGTAAAAAAATAGCATTAAAAAATCTCAGCAATATTATCCAGAAATATGCCCTCAGATATTTAAAAACTTTGCCTGAAGTTATAGCTGATAACACAAATATTTGGCAGGTAGTAGCACAGTTAGCATGTTTTTCTGTGTTGTGCAGAAAACCTTTCATTGGATTGCACTGCATTCCCCAATCAAAGGGAACAGTTTGACAGATCATTGACAGATCATTTAGAGGAGATGGCTTTTTCATCAGTTACTCTCTCTGAAACAAAATCTGGAAGTGTTTCAGGCTGGTAAGAGAATATGTGCTTTGCCTTTTTGACTTTTTTTTTTCTTTTCAATTATACTGTGAATATATAAAATGTATTCACTTTTCCTGTTACAAGATGGCAGGCACCAGACAGTCTAGAGCCTGAATATGGTATTTCTGTTAGGGAGCAGAGGTCTGCACGTGGCCATCCCTCCATAGGAAGCACAGTTTTGTGGCACAAGGCTTGAACATGCACTGCACTGAGGTTTTTTTCCCCAAACTAGCTTGTCTGCAAGTATGTATTCTCTTCCACAGAAGACTGCTACAGATGTGATCATCTGGAAAACGTCCTACTTCCAAAGGACTGCCCCTTGGCACAACAATCTGCTGTTAACACTGCCCTGGCAATTTACAGGGGCCGCTGCTGCCCACTAGCAGCACATATAAAAGTCTCTCTTGATTCAATATTAGAAGTTTGCAAGCCATCCTGCTGGCTTACAGCACATTAAGACATTTATATGCAACCTCATCTATGGCCAAATTGCAGGTTATAAACTAATTTAGACAAGTTGCCTATTCTGTATTGCAGATGTGCCTTACCAGGGCCACAGATAACCAAGAAGAATTTGCAGGCAGACACAGAAGTAAGATTTCACAGATTTTGTAGAACTCCACAAGTTTTTTGAATTGAGAGTAGGTGGAATTTGAAACATTATTAATTATGTTAATTATAATCATATATCTACTAGTAGAAGTCTCTTCAGTTCATGTAATTAGCAGTGCCTTTATGTTCTTGCTCTCAGTGTATTTAACACAGTGTTATCTCTCTGACAATCATCTGCTTGCAGTACAACTTACATGAAACTTTAAGGAGTGCAAGTACTTGCTCAGATATATTTTGTGTTAACACATGTAGTAAAGGAAAGAGAATTACATAAACAACCCTGAAGCAGTGCTGTCAAAATGCAACCTAAACT